AAAGTAGTACTGCAGGGTTATCAACTGAATTTCTGCAACATTTCATAAATACAAAATGTACAAGGATTAAGCTTCAGGTATTAAGTATTGTCGTTTTAATTTGATCATGCTTCTAATATTCACAGGAATAGAAGTATAATATTAAAAAAATCCTTCAATATTTATTCACGGATGATTTTTAATTTGACCATTTCTTTCACTTAGTATTTATTGATGCACTACATCAAATATAAAAAAGTAAATAAAAGTTAGGTGACAATCTGTCACTGCAATCCTTTTTCTTTTGCATTTCTATAAAACAATTTATGGATCCATGTGGAATCAGATGTCATGTACAGTATCTTAGCTACTGTACATATACAATTAAGTTATTAATTTTACTTCTTTAATTCATCAACCAAATGACTAAATGAAAAATGTATCCCTGAAATAACCCATTGTTTCTATTTTATGTGAAGGTGGATTTGGAAGAGTGCTTGCTCAGGCTAAAGGAGGAAAAAAGGGCAAGAGCCAAGCTAGATGCTCGGTTGGTTGAGGTACCTGTACGAATCTGTATGCTCTCTAATTCTGTGCAAAGTAATGCTTAATGGTAGATGGCAATGCAGTCCTTAGTGGCAGCAATACGATTTTTTGCTCTTTTTTCAAAATGTTTTAGGAATTCAATTTAAATCATATACTGTATATGTAATTCATAACATAATAGATAATATACATTAAGGTTTGTGCAGTGGCTAGCATTGCTGCCTTGTAGCAAAATAATGTCAGCTGTGGTTATGTAGTTTTTTTTTGCATAGCGTAGTTTCAGGGTAAAAGAACAAGCAGCATCTTAAAAGATGCATACATGCCTTCATTTACAAAAACACAAAACACAAAGATTATTTACAGCAGTCATGAGTACCTTGGCCCAGCCTTATACAAAACCAAGACTCAGGAACTCTGCTTATTTCCATGATAAACATCCCAACAGTGTCATAAAGACAAGGAGGGCTAAGCTGTTCACATAAAACAAAAGGCCTTATCCAGCTGGAATCACTCTCTGTATGTCAAATAATATAACAAAGTGAGGTTTCTTTTGCCATTTGAATTCCACAATTTTCCACAAATAGAAGAACATATACATTTTCTAAATTTAAACTGCATCCCTTTAGATTTAAATTACTTTGTAAGTTTCTGTCTTTGAAGGAGAAGGCGCAGCTTTTTCCATTGCTAGAAGAAGAAAGTGAGATAATTGATTCTCAGACATCTGATGTACAGACCTGGCTATTCACCTATTCTATTAGCTTGCAATTTGAGTATGTTAAACACAGGACTCCACATATTGATATGTTCCACTGAAAGGTTGAAGTTTAGTGTATGCAGCCTACTATATCATCACTTTGCAGCTCTCTTTATTGTTTAGTGTTGAAATAAGTGGTGGTCTGAATGCTCATTGGTTATACATTGATCCATGTAGGTAGCTTTACTATCACTGTGATGGGTATCATTTTAATCTCAATCTCTGTATAGTCTCCTAGCCAGTACTATTCTGGTGGTTGGCATTTCCCATCAGCTAACGATACATCCCAAACTCTGAACTTAATGGGCTGAACTGCTTTTCTCATTAGATCTCGTTACAGATCTCTTGCTATGCAACAAAAATTTAAATGGACCATTCTTTGTTGATTGCAGAGAACAAATTAATGGCACTAGAACAGATTTAAAACTGAAGGGTAATTGATGACTTTCAGGTGATTAGCTTGATTCTGACTGTTGTTATCTGGATATTCTGCAGAATCTTTAAATTATTTTTTTGTTTTCATTAAATTATTATTAAAAATTAAATTAAATGTTTTTCTTTGTATACATATGTTTTAATTTAACTGAGGATTTTTTAAGTATTCTGGAAGTATGTTTCTTTCTTCTTCTTTTGCATCTTGCAGCTAGAAGTTGAAAACACGCGATTAAGAAATATGAACCTTTCTCTGTCTGAGGCCCTCCACAGTCAATCAGTAACATCTAGTGTACTTGAAGATGAAGCTGTGTTAGA